TTGAGACACAGTTTCTCTCTTGTTGCCCAGGCTGGAGTGCAGTGGCGCGATCTTGGCTCGCTGCAACGCCCACCTCCCAGGTTCAAGCAATTCTCCTGCCTCAGACTCCCAAGTAGTTGGGATTACAGGCACCTGCCACCACGCCCAGCTAATTTTTGTATTTTTAGTAGAGATGGGGTTTCACCATGATGGCCAGGCTGGTCTCGAACTCCTGACCTCAGGGATCCACCTGCCTTAGCCTCCCAAAGGGCTGCAATTACAGCATGTAACCCACCGCACCCGGCCTCTTTTCATGTGTGTTTTCTTTTTTTTGAGATAGGGTCTCACTCTGCCACCCAGGCAGAAGTGCAGTGGCAGGATCACAGCTCACTGTAGCCTCGACCTCCTGGACTGAAGCGATCCTCCCACCTCAGCCTCCTGAGTAGCACCACCATGTCCTACTAATTTTTGTATTTTGTGTAGAGATGGGGTTTTGCCATGTTCCAGGCTGGTCTCGAACTCCTAAGCTCAAGCAATCCTCCTGCCTCAACCTCCCAAAGTGCTAGGATTACAGGCATGAGGCACTGTGCCTGGCCAATCAACCCTTTTCTACAATTAGTGCTTTCCATTTGTTTTTTAAAAGTCTTTCCTTACCCCCAAAGCAATGAAGAAATTCTTCTACATTAACTTCTTTTATTAATTTGCTTCTCACATATGTCTATAACTGGAGTTGACATGAATAAATTAGGTCTACTTTCTTCTTTTTTTTTAAGTACATATAATTTTTCTCACACAACTGTTGAGAGACTTCCTTCCTCACTAATTTGTGATGCCCCTTTGTTATAAATAACTTGTTCACATTACACATGTATCTGTATCTGGGTTCCCTATTCTGATCCACTGGTCTATTTGTCTATTTCTGTGGTAATACAGCACTGACTTAATTTACTAGCATGTTACGAAAAGTCTTAGTATCAAGTAAAGCAATCCTTCCTCTTCTTCATGGGTCCTTTGGTTTATCCTGTCTTTTGCATATTCATATAAATTAAAATCAGCTTGTAAAATTTACTGTAGAAATTTTTATTAGAAATTTCTTGAACCTACAGATAAATTGGGAAAGAATATCTTTAAAATACTGAATCCCCTAAAATGTGAATATTCTATTTCTATTATGTCTGTGTTCCTTAATCTTTCCAGAAAGTTTTATAATTTTCTCTAGTAAAATAAAAGTCTTACATTTTTGCACATAATCCTAGTCACATATAATTTTATATTATTGGAAAATAATATGCTAAAAAATACCATTTGAACTCTGTCCTAATATATATAAATACATGTGATTTTTGCATTTTGATTTTGTATCTAGCAATCTTGCTAAAATCCTATTAATTGTAATAGGATGATTATCTACAGATTCATTTAGAACATTTTATATACTGCACCATTAAAATTCATTAAATTCCATCTGTACATCCTTTTAAGGAAACTATGGGACAGAGAGATAAAAATGAATAAATAAAGGTCAAAAGTGGTGGAGCTTGGAATAAACATCAGGTCTGTATTTATGGTACGCTGGCCTTCTCACAGTGTACATTCACTCTGTCCTGTCTAATGAAAGTAACAGTGGTAGTGGTAGTATAGCCCAGGATAAATAAATAACAGTGGCATTGCTTATTAATCTACCTCAAGGTTACGTTTCCATGTGGTATGAGCATCAATCTACCTATATTTTTTATGTAGACAGCCAATTATTGAGTAACCTATTCTTTTCCACTGATAGGCCATGATTATTATAAATGAAATTATCATATATTCATGAGTAGCTTTTAACTTTCATTCTTTGTACAAGTATTAGATGAGGACTAACAGTGACAGTGTGCTACTCACAGGGGACAAAAAGATAAGTCAGTCAGGCATATTCTGTCCTTAAGATCTGCAGAAGAACCAAGCAAGGAAGTTAAGAACTACAATGGGTTCCCGAAGTAGGCCTAGAGGATACAGAGACACAGAATACTTTCAGAAGGCTCTCAGGCACCTACTCTAAACTAGCAAATATTCTGCATTCTGTACCTCTCAATTCCACATATGCATTACACCATTTTTAATTTCTACAGAAAACATAGTAAAAATTAAAGTTTATGGTAGTATCAAACTACAAAAATTAAGCAGAATTTTAAATGTTTTTCAATCAACTAGAACTCATTATTCATTAAAAAAATATTTATACAGCACCTAATCTCTGTCAGGGACTACTAGGTGCAGGACACAGTGCAGTGAACAAAACCCACCAGCAAAGTGCCTGCCTTCAGAGTTCACATGACAGTCAAATGAACTGTTGGAAAATAATAAGTGCCACAAACAGAAAGGGGAACATCACACACCGGGGCCTGTTGTGGAGTGAGGGGAGGGGGGAGGGATAGCATTAGGAGATATACCTAATGTAAATGACGAGTTAAGGGGTGCAGCACACCAACATGGCACATGTATACATATGTAACAAACCTGCACATGTACCCTAGAACATAAAGTAAAAAAAAAAAAAAAAAGAAAAGAAAAAAATAGCAGGTTACTATGTAAAATATGGTGGGAGCTGCTGCTGTTTTCTTTTCCATCCTACTCCTTTATTTTGAAAATGTTCAAACCTCCCAAAAAATACTGGAGGAGGAGGAGAGGACTACAGTATAACAAACATCAGTGTGTTCTTTACCTTGATTCACACTGTATGTTCTTTTTCCTGAGCTGACTGAGACTAAGCTAAATGTGGCCCTTCAGAGGAGGATAGTATTATCAAAAAAGGTGTCCTCTCTGGGAGGTAAACCAGGAGACAAGCAAAGCAAGCACCAAAGCTCTCAGAAACCCCATCAGCACATATAAAGGAGTGAGGCCAATGTGGTGAGAGCACAGTGAGTGACAAATGACATGAGAGAGACAGTCAGGAACAGATCACACCTTGTAGACATGGTAAGTACTTGAAATTATGAATATAATTTAAATATTTAATTTAAATATAATAGTCATGAAAGAGAGTGGATAGTGGGGACCTGATTATTATTAGAATAATTTTTGCAACTGTGCTATAAACAAATTGTACTATGGAAAGGTAAAGAGAAGCAGAAAGACTGGTTAAAAGGCTACTACAACTTCCAAGGGATAACAGTGACTTCAACCAAAATGGGAGGCAAGTTAAGGCAGTAACAAGTTGCTTGGGTTATCAAGTTGAGCTATAAGGTATGAGAAAAGATATAAATCAAGGATTAACTTCCAAAGTTTCTGGACTAAACAACCGAGTGAATACTGGCATTATTTACTGAAATGAGGAAATTTTGGGGAGAAGCAGATTTGGGGCAGAGGTGGAGGCAGAATCAAGCACGGTATTGGACATGTTAAGGGTGAGGTGTCTAACACACTTCCAAATGGAGATGTCAAGCAGACAACTGAACATAAAGGTCTGGAGATCAGGTAAAGAAGAGTAATGGAAATGAACACATGAGACTCTTAAGGGCACACACAGAGGTTACAGCTATCAGAATGAATGAGCTTTCTTTCCTAGGGGGTGAACAGAGACAAAAAGTAGACAAGATATCTGAGGATTTATCCTTAAGAATTCCAAAATTATAAACATGTAGAGTCTCCACAGCAACTAGCAAAAGACAAAATGAGGAGTGAGATGTCCCAAACGCAAACGAAAGAAAATGCTTCAAGAAGATGAGAGAGGCCAGGTGCAGTGGTTCATGCTTGTAATTCCACCACTTAAGGAGGCTGAGACAGGACTGCTTTAGCCCAGGAGTTCCAGACCAACCTGGATAACATAAAGAGACCCAATCTCTACCAAAAAAAAAACTTAAAAATTAGTCAAGTATGCTGGCACACACCTGTAGTCCCAGCTACCTGGGAGGCTAAGGTGGGAGGATCACCTGAGCCTAGGAGGTTGAGGCTGCAGTGAGCTGTGATCACACCACTGCACTCCAGCCTGGGTAAGAGAGTAAGACCCTGCCTCAAAAAATAAAAAAATAAATTTAAAAATAAAAAAAAGAAAGGAAAGGAAGAAAAGGAAGAGGAAAAGGAAGGGGGAGGGAAAGGAAGGGAGGAAGGAGGGAGAAGGGATGGAGAGGAAGGAGGGAGGAAGGGAGGGAAGGAAGGAGGGGAGGAAGGGAGGGAGGGAGAGAGGCAGGGAGGGAAGAACATGGGAGTACTAAACCGATGGATAATTTCATTATTTTATTCATGCTTTTCAAACAAGGTCTAAAAACTCTTAAGACTTCAAAGCTGAATTACAGAATGATAGGTTACAGGCCCAGTGTAATGGCTCGTGCCTGTAATCCCAGCACTTTGGGAAGCCAAGGCAGGCAGATCATGAAGTCAGGAGATCGAGACCATCCCGGCCAACATGGCGAAACCCTGTCTCTACTAAAAATACAAAAATTAGCTGGGCATGGTGGTGATGCCTATAATCCCAGCTACTCGGGAGACTGAGGCAGAAGAGTCGCTTGAACCAGGGGGTCGGAGGTTGCAGGGAGCCGAGATGGCGCCACTGCACTCCAGCTTGGTGACAGAGCAAGACTTCATCTAAAAAAAAGGGGGGGGTGTGGGTGGGGTGGGGGGAAAAAAGAAAGAAAAAAAATAGGTTATAATGTCCTGTGATTCCTTTTTTAATGAATGGGGAGAAGGTAAGGAACAAAAGTATAAACTTAAGTTTACAGGTAAGTATCAAAAATTAATCATCATGCTAAACGCTCACATTTATGTCTTCTGCCAGGAATAGCACATTGGTAACATTCTGTACTGGCCTGAGGTGACTAGAGTAAAACTCTAGTGTGCTGCCGTGTTCTACAACTGCCTAAGCCCACAGATGTACTCAACCCAATTACACACAGAGGCATCAGCTTCAAATTCAGCTACTAAATCATAAAAGTCCACCCAGATTTTCATCCTAAACTCATACTCCTTGAATTTTCTCTATAGTCGATTCACTGTTTTATTCCTGTCACTAATATCCCATCCAGCTGCCTTCATTCTCTAACCTGATTTTGGCTTCTACACCAACAGAGACCAGGGAGTTTGCCGATTCCTCAGACACAGATCGCTGAAGAGCTGGAATTAGCTGTTTGCTGTTATCCGCTTCTGCTTCAGCATCCTCTTCTGCAGACTGTTCTTTGATTTCCGCTTAACAGTAAACAAGAGAAAACAAAGAGTCATTTTTGTATTTATATTAATCACTGGTGAATTTATCTATAAAGCATAGGTCATAATGTAAAAAGAAACAAATAACAATACTTCACTGATACAGGAAAGTTTATGCACATAATTAGTGGTACTGTGCATCTTTATTCTCTACTGCAAAATGATTACCAAAATAATGTGAAGCATGGTACACTTTTACTTGCGCCCAAATTATAGCTGATTCAGAGAAGTTTCATCCTAGCAATAAATGTTAAGAATCTTGGCCAGGCATCCCTGCACCAATTTGAGAGACCAAAGCAGGCAAATCCCTTGAGTTCAGGAGTTTGAGACTGGCCTGGGCAAGATGGTGAAATCTCATCTCAACAAAAAATATAAAAATTAGCTAGGCAAGGTGGTGAGTGCTTATAGTGTCAGCTACTCAGGAGGCTGAGATAGAAGGATATGCCTTGAACCTGGGAGGCGGAGGCTGCAGAGAGCCAGGATCATGCCACTGCACTCAGACCTGGGTGACAAAGCCAGACCCCATCTCAAAAACAGAATCTTATTTTTGGCCAGGTGTGATGGCTCACACATGTAATCCCAGCACCTTGGGAGGCTGAGGCAGGCGTATTGCTTGAGCCCAGTAGTTCAAGACAGCCTGGGAAACATGGTGACATCCCATCTCTACAAAAAATTAGCCAAGTATAGTGGCACATGCCTGTAGTCCTAGCTACTCAGGTGGCTGAGGTGGGAGAATCAATCAAGCTCCGACAGTTGACGCTACAGTGAGCTGTGATGATACCACTAGACTCCAGCTTAGGCAACACATCCAGATCCTACCTCAAAAACAAAAATAAAAAATCTTTTTTTTTTTTTTTTTTTTTGATGGAGTCTCGCTCTGTCAGTCAGGCTGGAATGCAATGGTGCGATATCAACTCACTGCCACCTCTGCCTCCCAGGATCAAGTGATTCTTCCGCCTCAGCCTCCCGAGTAGCTGGGATTACAGGCGCCCACCACCACGCCTGGCTAATTTTTGTATTTTTAGTAGAGACTGGGTTTCACCACACTGGCCAGGCTGGTCTTAAACTCCCGACCTCAGATGATCCACCCACCTCAGCCTCCCAAAGTGCTGGAATTATAGGCATGAGCTACTGTGCCCGGCCAAAAAAGAATCTTATTTTCAGGATTATAGCAATTGGTCTACAGAACAAATGTATTTCAAAGTGAGTCATTAAAAATCGTTTCACACTTTATATTATCATTAAAAGACTCATTATGTATTCTAATTATTAGTCATTCTAAAAGCTTAATATTTGAAAAGGACAAACCTTCACCTTACTGCCTGTTTCCATTCTCCTTGAGTCCAACCCCAAACACCTTAAATGTTCTTTCTCAGGAGGCAACCTAATAGCTGAGAGGATTTCCATACACCACTACCCCTAGCATCATTCTTCTCATTTAATAAAAATTATATGCCCACTCTGTCTGTCATACTCTATTACTAGAATGAAGGGACATTATACCTCCCCACCAGTGCTCATGATGCAGTTCCATGTTCTTGGCTGGCTCCTTCTTTTCTAACTTGAAATTTATTTAGACCTTTCTGCATCACTAACCCCAAACAAACAAAAAAATCTTAAAGTCCTTTCAAGCTCCTTTTCCGTCTTTCCTTTTACCACCAAATTCATGAGATGGCACAATAAATTGACTGAACTCTACTACCTTCCCCTTCAACTATACCTTTCTAATTGTATCCAGCCTATTATAACAATTATTCTCAGCCGGGTGTGGTGGCTCACACCTGTAATCCTAGCACTTTGGGAGGCCAAGGTGGGCAGATCACCTGAGGTCCGGAGTTCGAGACCAGACTGACCAACATGGTGAAACTCTGTCTCTACTAAAAATATAAAATTAGCAGAGCATGGTGGCACATGCCTGTAATCCCAGCTGCTCAGGAGGCTGAGGCAGGACAATCGCTTGAATCTGGGAGGTGGAGGTTGTGGTGAGCCGAGATCATGCCATTGCACTCCAGCCTGGGCAACAGGAACTAAACTCCATCTCAAAACACACATACACAGTTATTCTCATCAACACCACCAATGGATCAACGGCAAAAGCATTAACAATCCAGTCACCACTCACAAGCTTCCTTCAAACATCCTAAAAATTCATTTCACATCAAGACCACTTCCTCCTTAGTGAAATGTTCTTCTATCTTTTATAAGTAGGGAGATATAATAGTCTAATATCTGTCTCTTCAGCTGATTTCCTTTAGGCCTCTAAATATAGGTACAGCCTACATCCTTTTTACACTCCTGGGTTGATTGGTTGTTTCTGTTTTTGAGAAAAGGACTCACTCTGTCGCCCACACTGCAGTGAGGTAGTATGATCATTCACATTCTTGGGCTCAAGCAATCCTCCCGCCTCAGCCTCCCAAGCAGCTGGGACTATAGGCACATGTTACCACATTCTTTTTCATCTTTTTGTAGAAATGGGGGTCTCACTATGCTGCCCAGGCAAGTCTCAAACTCCTGGCCTCAAGTCATCCTCCTGCCTTGGCCTCCCAAAGTGCCAGGAATACAGGCATGAGCCACTGCGCCCAGCCTATAAGCTCCTCTTTGAAGAACTTATTTATTATTCACATTTCAACAGTTCCCTCTGGACTTAATGATTTGTAAATCAACATCTCTAGCACCAACTTGTCTCCTGAGTTCCACACCATATTTCAACTATACACTAGACATATTTAGCATCTTGAACACTAAATTTCACACAAAACTTGATCTCCTATCACTCAGATTAGCACTTCAATCTGACTTTCCTTTTTTTTTTTTTTGAGACGGAGTCTCGCTCTGTCACCCAGGCTGGAGTGCAGTGGCCAGATCTCAGCTCATGGCAAGCTCCGCCTCCCGGGTTTACACCATTCTCCTGCCTCAGCCTCCCGAGTAGCTGGGACTACAGGCGCCCGCCACCTCGCCCAGCTAGTTTTTTTGTATTTTTTTAGTAGAGACAGGGTTTCACCGTGTTAGCCAGGATGGTCTCGATCTCCTGACCTCATGATCTGCCCGTCTCGGCCTCCCAAAGTGCTGGGATTACAGGCTTGAGCCACCACGCCTGGCCTGACTTTCCTTTTTTTAAAAAAAAAAAAAAACTATCTTCTATAATCAAAACGAATTTTAGAAAAATATTGTGGAAAACGAACAATTTGTGTAACTATGCTTGCGTAGTTAGAAAAAACTACAAATAACTGTAAATCTCATCAAATCATAAAAGTAATGATAACATGAAGCATCAAACAGATGGTTTTGGTTTTCATACTTAACATGTTTCCTTTCTTTTTTAAAAAATTGAAATAGGAAAGCTGACCTTAAATTATTTATGCAGTCTACCAATAAAGGTGTCCTGTCTATCCCTAGAGACAAAATTGATAACATATCTAGAATCAAATCTACAAATACGTAAGTCTGTATTCAAAAGGGATCATAAAATGAAAATTTACATTTCTATGTGACAAATGACCTCATGAACAAAATGAATGTGTCGCAGATGAGAGAAAATAAATACAATTTGAATCCCTCCCCCCAAAAAAGGTATTCAGATCAAGAATAGCTAAAGAACTCCAAAGATGAACAAGGCACATAAACCTGCAGAAAGCACACAAAGGACAAAAACCATACTCTTCATCTTCTATACTTTTCAAGTTTTAGTAGGGCACATAACTGTTCAGCTAGAGACTTTATTTCCCAATCCTCTTTGCAGCAAACCATGGCAAGTTCTTACCAAAAGAATATGACCAGAAGCAACTGTGCAACTTCATCATCTAAAAGGAAGTGACCTGCTCTTAACTAAATTATAGTCCCCTTTCCTACATACTGGAATGGACATGACAGCAACCCAGCCGCAATGCTGCCAATGAGGGGCAATGCTCCAGGTGATGGCAGAGAGACAAGATAGAAGAAACTTGGGTCAACAAACAATAATCTGGAGCAAAAGACGACTCATCAACCTAAGCTCTCCATCCTCAGAAATACTACATGAGAGAAAGATCAATTTGTTTTATTTAAGCCACTGCTACATTTTGGGATCTCTGTTACAGCAGCTTAACCCATGCCCTAATTAACACAGAAAACTAGTATTAAGAGTGAAGAACTGCCATAACAAAAACTTCAAGTGGCTTGGTGATCAGGCCATGAGACACTGATAATGGAGTTTGAAAATCAACTGACCCTTTTTTGTATTAAAATATTTAATACAGCTACAACCTATTTGGAATGCAGACTGTACCTACAGAGCCTGTAGCTCTAGGGAAAGCATCTGGAATGAGCCAAAGGGTATTCTGTGTTGCCTCTCTCTAGTATTTTTACAGCCAAAGATAGAAAAGAATACAATTCTGCTACAGAGACACTCTCTGCCTGCCTATTATATTCAAAGTACTATAAAATTATCATATATATAAATACCTTTATGAAAGCATTTCATTTCTACTCAGAGAGGCCCAGACACATTTTGGGATAGACCCATTTTATACCATTCTTACTACTGGGTAATAAGAAAGGGGAAGAGAAAAGTGACAAACGTAAAGGAGGAGTAAGAATAGTGCCTTCAGAAACTCACAACGAGTCAAATGGACCGGGGTCAGAAATCATTACATTACCCTGGAAACATTTTTCTTCCTGGAGCCAGATCCATTTATCCCCACTCCCAAACTGTGCTCCCTCCAATAAAGTATGACTTGTCTGTTTCCTTTTAGTATGTTGCTATCTACCATATATGACCTCTAGTCAAAAATGTCCTTCTCCTAGCACAGTATATAACAGTCTCAGCTTTTTCCTTATTTTTGTTCCCACAAAAGAAAATACACAGCACTTTTATTATTTTTAGGGGAGTTTTATTGCTTACAGCTAAGGGAAAACAAGTAGGACAGTGTCTATCTCTCCCTCAAATTAGAGCCAGAAGGAAATAGAAAAGTTAAACGTTAATGTTACTGGTTGGTCAGCAGGTT